GCATTTTCGAAGGGACTGTGATGGGAGTGTGTGGGGGAGTAGTGAGATTGGGGGGATGGTGCTGGGGGAGGATTTGATTTTCGACACGGTGAATCAGTTGAGGGAGCAGAGGAAGATGATGGTGCAGGCGGAGGGGCAGTATCAGTTTATTTATGGGGTGCTGAGGAAGTTGTGGGTGGAGAGGTATGGCGGTGGTGGTGGTGGTGGTGGAGAGGTTGTTGCTGGGTTGAGAGGGGGGGAGGGACAGGGACGAGAAGAGGAGGTAGAGGTGGAGGAGGTGAAAGATGATCATAGGGAGGGGGAGCCGGCGAAGAAGAGGGTGGAGGTTGAGTTTGAGAAGAGTGAGGGGAGGGATCCTTTTGCTTGAGACTTTCCAGTAGATGTGTGGGAAGGAGGAGCAATTGCATTTTAAGGGGGCATAATAGGGGCGGTGTTTTTTTTTTGTTGTTTCTTTGTCTGAGCGTTTTTTCTTCTGTTTTCTTTCATCGCATGGGTGGGCATATATATCTTTGGGGAGGCATACATGTTAGATGGTTTTTTTGTCTTTTTGTTTTGAGTTTTTATTATAATTATTGGAGGGGGTAGGATGGGATGGACGAGTTTTGTATGATTCAACATGGGGGCGGGTTTTGTCTTTTTTTTCCTCTTGTTTTTGTTTCCTTTTAGATACCCAGGTAATTCGGCATGGTTTTGGGGGATGTGGTTGCATAGGATGAGGAATTGGGGGATGTGGTTGCATAGGATGAGGAAATGGGGGATAGGATAGGAAAGGAAAGGAGAGAGGTGCTATTGCATTGACATTTCTGTACGATTCACAGTTTGACATCAATGTGTGCCCTAAGGTGTGGAAGTAGAGTGAAACGAAGAAAGACGTCCCCTTGAACGTAGAGATGTCTCCTTGATAGCTACGATCAAATCCTGGCCCTCGAAAAGGGCCGGGTTGTTTTTGTATTTTACCATCCTACATTCTGGCGAATACTTCAGAATTCTCCATGAGTTTTTCCACGCACACTACGTATAGCCCTGGTTTGGGTATATCATTCAAGTCTAAGCTACCTCATCAGGGGAGTAAAAGCTGTCTTGTAGCCGCTATTGCACATAAAAGATCACGAACTGATTTCACTTCAGCTCACATGGTCATGACGACT